GTCGGCGAAACTCTTTGGGCCACGCTAATTAAATTTAATTTGCCATTGATTAACGTATTTATTTCGATGTTTTTTCGGGTTTCCAGGTAGTTTTGACAGCCCTGCCAGGCATCTCTTTCCGTCTCCTACCTGACACGTTGAATTATTAATTGTATGATTGATTGTTCTGCGCAACGTGTGGTCCATGTACTGCTTGGATTCCGGGCCAGCGTTTGTTTCGCATTAGCAGCAAGTGGCTTGGAGAGCAGCTCCTCCGCGGGGAGCTAACTACTCGATGAGGAGCTTTTTATTATTTTTTATGTGTCGGCCCATTTGGGCGTGAGAATCGCTTTTTCTTGGCCTGCCTCTTTTCTCGCTTATTTAACAATTGTTTTCTTCAATGAAGTGACTTGATTAGCGGCGGCTGCCAGCGCGTTAATATTAATGTAATTTGTCGGGTTTTAGGAGAAAACATCAAAAATGCCTATTCAAACTGTTTTTATACAATTTCAGGCATTTATGTCAGTTTTCCAAAATATTACGTATACGCACTGGTGTAATATTTAAACCTTAAGAAAAATCTCGTTAACTGATAAAGGAAATTTTTATAAGAAGCTGTAAAACATTTTCTCTCTCAGCTTTTAAAACGTTAAAAATAGTCATATTTAATTTTTTATTTAACAAAAAAATTTTTTGTAATTGACAATTTTAATTTTTTAATAATTTAATGAAGTTTTTTGTATTTGTATATTGTAAATTGTTGTTTTTCTGAGTGAATTTTGTTGTCAAAGAATTTTTTGTTGTTGTTGCAGGCAAAAAGATTAAATTTTGACATTTCTTTTTGTTGTTAAAAATGGTAAATATTTTTTTCTATTAGCAGAGTTCTTAATTATAACTGTTGTTTTTGTTGTTGTCAAAATGCCTATACACACGATTTTTATACACTTTCAGGCACTTAAGCCTTTTTTACAAAATATTACGTATACGCAATGGTGTAATATTTAAATAGTGTAATATTTAAACCTTTGGAAAAACTAGTTAACTGATAAGCGGAATATACAATTTTTGGCAGCGATCAAATGAGCTAAAATTATCAACTTTAAATAGATATTTTTACGATAATTTTTTTACGAAATTAAAAGTATTTCAAATATCAAACTTGGCCAAAAATTAATTAATTTTAATTCGGATACCTTCTCTGTGCTAGCTTTTTAAATATTAATAAATCTGCATATTTATTTTAATATTTTAAACATTTTTAAATAATTTTATGTAGAGTTTTGGGTTTTGAATATTGTAAGTTGTAGTTGTTGTAAGTGAATTTTATTTACAAAGAGTTTAAGTTGTTGTTGCACGCAAAATAAGCTTCAATTTGTTTATTTTCGGAACAAATGTAATTTTATTTTTCCCTTTTGTTGTTGTGAATAGAAAGTATGTGTTGTCGGTACAGAGTTTATTATTATTATTGTTGTTGTTGCTGCTGCTTATGTTGTTGTTCTTGTTTTCATTGTTCTTGTTTTTGTTGTTCTTGTTTTTAATGTTGTTGTTGTAGTCATTCAATTTGGTAATTTTTAAGAAATCCATCTGAAATACCAGGCGAACAGAAGGCAGCAGCAAGCAATTTCGTTTTTGTGCAAATTTATTGTACCGCCTAAAGGTATGCTACACCCGATCCCCAAAGTATGCAGTTGCAAAAATATGCTATATTCGTCATCTCATATTGAGTCGGTCCGGCAACGCTTTACATAGCTCAGTGCTGCCAGACCGACGAAATAAATTTGAATTTGAATTCAAATTTGGCAGTTAACGTATGTGGCGGCAAGTTATCGATTATTTTAATTTGAATTCAAATTTATCGATTAACTGACATGGCGGTCTATTTGAATTTGAATTCAAATTTGCCTGTTAACTGATTTTTTTTTTCCTTTTTTATTGTATATTATAAATGGTAGCTGTAAAAATGTAGTTTATCATTGTTGTTGTTGTTGTAATAAAGAGGTTTATCAGAGTTGTTGTTGTGGACAATAACAAGCGTTAAAATTGATAATTTGTAGTACAAAATGGATCATTTCTGTATTTAATGTACCAGACAAACAAAAGGTACTCATGGTGGATTCATTTTTGAACAACTGCCAATTTGTGGCTTTTATAAATGTCAATTGATTCTGTTTTATATATACCGCCAAAATGACCTCAAACAAGTGCTCTATAAAGTATCGATATTTTTATACGACCTTAATACATGAGTTTATTAAGTGTATAAAAATCATAAAATTTTTGAAAGTGTAATTCCGACTGCTTTTTTATTTAGTTCGAAACCTAGATGGCGCTCAATCCTTCCTGTTATTGAGGTGCCGCTGTAAAATACACCAAATAATGTTTCATGCTTTCAAGAGGCGGCTGCTGTAAAAGACGTAAAATAATGTAGTACGCTTTCAAAAGGTGGCTGATATAAAACACACATAATGGATGTAGCGTCGGTTGAAATGTATAGTTATTTGAAAATCGAATACTCCGAAAATTAGTAAAAAATATTGCGGTTATAGAAAAGTAAAATAAATAAATCTATTTATATACTTGTAAAGAATATATTTATTTCCAGTTCTTCAGATTATTGTACTCTACTAAAAGGTTTACTAATCACACAAAAAAGGTATATATTATTAATTTTCTGCATTTTCCTTTTTTTCTAGATCAATTTTCATTTCGAATCCTTCTAGGAAGCGACAGCCTTTCGATTGCCTTTTCACAACAAAAATTCCAATAATTGAGCTTAATGTTGAATTGCCTAATTTATTCTGAATTTCAGTGAATTTTAATTTAGCGCATTTTCGCTACCAATTCGGCCACGTATTCCACTTATTCTATGGCATGGCCTTCGTCCAGCCAAAAATCAATTAAAAATAATAACAACATCAGCGGCTAATGTTTGCTGGCTATTTTCGTTAAGTAATGGCCAGCGAATGGAAATGGAAAATTCCTGACCAAATGAAAAGCCCAAGCGTTGTGTAAAAGGTAATTCACAATTATATTTAGACGAGAATAGCGGAGAAATCACGGTGCAAATAATTAAACAAATTGCATGATTTTTAATAATTTATTGGGCCCAGCGAGGAATATGCAAGTTCATGTAACAAATCCGGCGAAAATCAGGGTAATTAGCATAAAATTTGGTAACTGGAACTGAACAAAATAATGCATCTGCATTTCCGCCTCGTTACATTTTCACAAGAACATAAACATAAATACGGATTAAGAATAATTAGCAATAACAACGCTTACAATGAACAAGGGATTTTATAAATTCAGGGATATTTTGGTTAGCTTTCAAGTTAAAGAGATTTGTTAAAATGTGTCTTTTATTTTTATTTTTGAATGGCAGTAAATTTAAATTTTTTTATTAATGTATTTTGGTACAGTAATTAATTTAATAATTTGGGAAATTAAAATAAATTTAAGTTTCATATTTTTAGAGCACTGACTTAAATAGGAGTAACTTTATTATGCGGATTTGATTTAAACACAACGTCTACTTTATTTAAAACTCTTGGCTAAGCAACTAAACCAACTTATAGACCTTTTAATCTACATATGTTTCTTTTGTTTCTGTGCCTGCAGGCCACTCAGCTTTACACTCTTCAACATAATGTTTTTCAATTGTCGAGTTCACTGGGTACACTAAGAATATAAAAGTCTTAGTAGTAGAAAATCTATTCAAATTTGGATGACACAAATATATATTTATAAAGTGTTGCTATAAGTTAATTTAGATGATTTTCAGGAACCCTTTGCTTGTTCTCTATAAAAGGGAATATGAGGAAAATTAGTTATATTTTAATTATAGTTGAAAGTCGCTTAATTTCTGTGTAGCTCTTATGATTTAAAGTTCAAGGGTTAGTATTTGTATTTGTGAATTTGTGGGCGGCAAAAGTACGGCCCTGGGCTAGCTATTCCGGACGCCCTAGAGTCTCCGTGTTAATGCAACTAATTAGCCCGTTGCCAGGAGGTGTTTCCAGAAACTGCACTAAACACTGCATAGGAACGGTATGGGAATCCAATTATTATTTGTGGTAAGTGGAAGACGATTTAATTACTTGCTTTCGATTTTGTGAGGCGAACTAAGTGTCTCTTGGGTATTTATTGAGAAATCCAATAAGTTGGTTTAAAGCCAAAACAATACCAAAGGTTGAGGGAGAGTATTAATTTCTATTTTGAGAGAATCTCATTACTTTAAGGGTACTTTAGAGTGATTTTAATATTAATGTTTAAAATTATTTAATCATTTTTTTGCTTTTAGTTTAATGACATTTGTGATTAGTACATGATTTCTAACTTACCTTTTTTACAGAACGATTTTTCAACAGCCCTTGTAAGCCATCAATTTATATTGCTAAAAGTAAAGTTAAGTGGGATAACCAGAGGAGTTAGCTGGGATAAATTGATGGCTGGTGACCATATTTCATATCGATAGCTCAAAGCCGCTTCATTTATTATGCGCGGAAAAATGTTTTCCCGCCTCAAACACAAAAAAAAAAAAAAAAAAAAATCCACAACCTGAACCGAAAAATTGCAAAGGTCACTGGGCTTAGAGGGGGGTTTTTTTGTGTTTTTTTATGGCCTAAAATTGGCCCTCACTTTTGCCCCTGACAGCTTCTGGCTTGTGTAAGAGGCAATGCATGTTGCCCTGTCAAACGCTCCGTTGAACTTCGCTTCACTTCTGCAGAAGGCGCTGAAAGTGGCTTCCTCTCGGCGGCGGCTTCCATTCGGACACCTTTGCCGGGGACTTAACGGCGCGTTTACGGCACAAATGCCGGAATGTCTGGCCCGGAAGTGGGTGAAATGGGAGCGGCTCCAAGGATCATTAGGCAGTGTCAACAAGCGGATTGCCGGATTGGCTTCCATCCAGAAATTGTTATAAAAAATATGAACAGACACACACACGGTTCACATTTAAACTAACTCTCTATGGAATTGTATTTTTTATATTTTATTTATAATCTTTTGTATTTTTTTGTGGCTTTATTGATTTTTAGAAAATATGACTTAGATGCTAACTACTAACAAATTGTCCATTAACTAACGTAAATGTAATTAACCATTTTCTCGTGTATGACACATAATTCAATACATATTACAATGCTATTATTATATTCTCGTTTTCTGTACTGGTTGTGTAGTTGCTAGTAAATGCGGAAATTTGAAATTGGTTTGATCAACACTCGTATTTTGTTTCCGGTCTTTGTTGTCGGTAATTAAATGTAGATTTAAATGTAGTTAATTAGTCTATTAGTTGGTTTCCACGTGTTTGTGTGTGAGTTTTGTTTTCGCTGCAGTAGCCTTTAATTTAATGATAGAATTACCGAGTATTTAATATGTACAAAATTATGTTACAGTTCTCTTTTCCTTTTTTTTTTATTTTGTCCCTCGTTTAATTTCACCAAAGTTAGTTATGATTTTTTCTCCTATTAAATTTTCTACTTTCTCTGCCAACTTTTGTGGCTGCACGCGGGTTCGGTGGCAGATTTCAGCCTCTGTTTTCAGGTTTTTCCTCGTGCCACCTTGTGGAATCGGACACGTTCCCCTTTTTTCGGTGGCGCACAAAAGTTGCAAACGTTCAACATTTTCTGAGGGGGCAATCGGGGAAAATTTGAGGATAGTTTTGCTCAACTTAGGTGCTACAGAGTTAACGCCGTATTTATACAGGGTCTTTAACTAATTTATAGCAAGTTTTATAAACTCTTTTTTTTCGAATGTATAGTATGCTTAATTTAAACATATATATATATTATATGGAATTATTCTTTGATTTATCCGTTGGTTCAGTTGGAAGTCATGGAGAAAATGTCGAAGAAGATGAGAGAATAGAAAAGTGGGACTGAAAGAATTGTTTCTTGGGAAAATAGTTCACTTATGAATGGAAATTTCTTTAGAATTTCATTTAGTTTTTGTTTCAGGAAGCACAAAGTTCGACGGAAAGAGATACTTTAAATTCAGAGAAGTATGTTCAAGAACTCAATCTTTAATTAAGCCCCTTCTCTATATCTTATGTGTGAGAGAAAACATCTAAAATCTTATTGTTAGTCTTAAATTTCACTGTTAGCCACATGTACATACAATTAACCCTAACCAGACACACGAATACACAAAACACCTGTTTTCGGGTTGGAAAACTCCTTATTTTCCTCCTTTCATTTTCTTTTTTCCCCATCGTGCTTACAGCTGAAACATCATTTTAACTACAACTTAACTATTTATTTTTATAATACAACTTTGTCGACATCGGGCTGGGACATTAACCCACTGACACCCGCACTGATACTGCCACCGCCACCACCAGGACCTGCCCCACTACCGGTTGCAACACTCACTGCCAGGACACTGCCGCCACTGCCTAGGGACGATGACGCTCCTCTTGCTGCTGCCGCTGCTGCTGCTCCATCTGGTCCACCTCCACCTCCGCCGTGACCTCCTCCGGTTGGCGATAATGATGACCCTCCGGGTCCACCGCCTCCGCCTCCATCCGATGGAAGCTGCTTGGCTTTCGCCTTATCGTGCACGTACATGGCGGCCAGAGCATTGAAACGTGGACCCCAGTTCTGCAGATAGTTAAAGTCTTGATTCTCATCATCAGTGCCTGGAATTGGACAAGTGGGAGTAGCGAAACGAGTTAGAGAATTTCTTCAAAGCAGTTTCTGGTAGCAGATATGTCGGAATATATACTAATTAAGCCTCTTAAATAAAAACGGAAATAGCTAGAAAGGAAATTAGGAGGTTTATAAATAAGCTTAAAAAAGGGACCAATTTTACGAACAAGCTTTGTTTAAAAATCTTCATTACTAATTCAAAACAGCATTAATTTAAATTCAGAAAGAATAAATATAATTTATAAGGTCAGAAATGACTCCTTCTTACAATCTTCTGTCTGGAATTATTATACTACAAAAACATTTATTTTCTACTGCGTATACGTAATTTTTGTGACTTTGGTATAAATGTTCTGAATTTATATCAGAAGCATACCTTGAAATTCAATCAAGAAATTCAATTCAAGAAGACATAAAAAATTCCCATGCAAACGACTTTTCCTAAATTTTAATTATAGCATATATAGCACTGCCAAGGAAAAAATTACGTATACGCACTGGTGTAAATAGTATTTGATCATAGCTTTGCTAAAAATGCATTAATTTCAATTCGGAAAGCTATTCTGTGTTAGGTTTTTGTAGGTTAACAAATCTGCATACTAAGTTAAAAAATAAAATAAATCATAATTTTGGCAACTTTTGAAAATTTTAACGATGTAACCCCTTATAAAAGTTCCAAAATTTTGAAAAAATTAAATTTTAACCGGACATAGCTGGAACGATTCTGGACTGGAATTATTATTATACAACTGGCTGAAATTATTACACTATAAAAACATTTTTTACCTAGTGCGTATACGTAATTTTTGTGAATTTGGTAAAAAGACACTACTATTGTTCTGAATTTATGTAGGAAGCATAGCTTGAAATGCAATCATTAATTATTTTGGCTTCTGGATGGCATCAAAAATTCCCATGCTAACAACTTTTCTTAAATATTAATTATTACAAATTTAGCACTGACAAGGAAAAATTAAGTATACGCACTGGTGTAAATAGTATTTGATCATAACTTTGCTAAAAATGCATTAATTTGAATTCGGAATTTTCATAATTTTGAAAAAACTAAATTTTAGCAGGACATAGCTAGAACGATTCGGCTGTTGATGCTAATCAAGAATATATATGATTTATGGGGTCGGAAATGATTTCTTCAGGTTTTTGTAAGCTTCTGACTGAAATCAAAATACCCTTTAAAGGTATAAGAATACATCTTAATAAAATATTAAAAACTTTTCCATTTTATTTAGAGATTAAATATTCCTTTAAATTTTTCACTTTGATTTATAAAGTAGAAGAATATTGATTCCCAATCAAATCTATAATGATTTCTGTGTTAAAAACTCGGTTTAAATAAGCTCAAAAGCTTGCCATATGTTCTTATCTATAAAAATGTATAAAAAACAGATCGAAAGTATTACATTAAGTTAAAAAATTAAAAATTTTACTTGTAAACTATATTGTATCTCACCTGAGGCTAGTGAGCTCAGTGACTCGGCAATACTGCCGCTCCCCTCGAAGGTGAAATTGCGGAGGTCGTCGAAGGGCGGCGCATTGGGATCCTTGTCGATGCGCTGCTTTCGCTCCTCCATCAGATAGGCCACATTGAGCTCCTGGCCAGGTGGCAGCAGCGTCATCACGGGATCTGAAAGCAAACAGTCGACCAATTACTTGGCCAGTTCCGAGGCACTTTCGTGCTATGTTTACTCACAGATTATGGGCATCTTGCAGGCGGCAATGTCCGGCGGTCCTCCCTGGGCGCTGATTGGTATTTGCAGTGGCGTTATGTCAAAGGCCGTCATGTCGTCCTCGCCGCCGCCCTCGTCCTCATAGCTGATGACCGTTTCGCGGACATCCTTTTCAGGGCCGGATCGCTTTTTTTTCTTGGTGGTCTTGCGTTTGCGACTGTAGAGCACGAAAATTAGGGCGAGAACTGTAACAAGAGACAATAAGAAAATGTTAAATAAAGTTATCGAATGTGAGAAAATTTATTTAAGAATTTTATAATACCCTTGCAGGGTCCGTTTCTACCCAAACTAGTTCCTTAGTATTAAAGGTATCTCAATGAAACTTTGCAGTTAGTCTTATATAGAACTTATATTAGTTGGAATGGGCCAGATGGGATGACTATATCATATAGCAGCCATAGGACCGGTCGGAAAAAGTTTATAATACAAATTATAATTTTAACAGATTTTAATACATTTTTATTAAATTTGATTCGAAGCTTCATTTTATTATTATTGAATTTCATTTTTTAGTTTTATTAAAAACGGAATACTATGTAATATAACTCCTAGAGAAACGGTTGTTAAATGTAATGGATCATTAAGTAACTATGATCAGTAATTAGCTAAGATAAGTATTTAACTCTGATCAGTAAGTACCAATGAAAAGTAAGTAACTTTGACCAGGAAGTTTCTATGAGTAGTAAGTATCAAAGACCAGTAAGTATATATGACCACTTACTAACTTTGAACACTAATAAACAATGACTTGCAACTTTTGTAACACAACACATGTCTGAGACTTGGCCGGCAGCAGTCACTTCGTTCCGGGGATGTTAGAACCAGTTGTGAATCATACGCACAGATGTGCGAGATTTGTTTTGAAACAAATTTAAGCTATTTTAATAAAACTATGTAGTTATTCTTCTATATAATTTTACTAGTGTGTAAGTCGGAGCATGGCGAATCGGTGTACTATATATGTATATATATATATATCTGCCATAGGAAAAATCGGAAGATTTATAGAACTATAATCAGTAATTATCTATGACCAGTAAGTATCAATGAACATTAAGTAACTATGACTAGCAAGTAACTATGATCAGTAAGTAGCTATGACCAGTAAGTAGCTATGATCAGCACTTAATTATAATCAGTTAGTAACAGTGAATATAAATTAACTATGAGCAGTCAGTAACTATGATCAGTAACTTTTTATCACCAGTAAGTATGTATGATTAGTCACTCACTGTGAACACTAATAAACAATGACTTGCAAGTTTTGAACACAACACATGTCTGAGACTCGGCCGGCAGCAGTCACTTCGTTCCGGGGATGTTAGAACGAGTTGGAAATCATATGTACAGATGTGCGAGATTCGGAACAAATTTAAAGCAAGCTATTTGAATGAAACTGAGGAGTTATTCATGTATGTAATTTTACTAGTATATAGGTTTGATAATGATAATAATAATAAGGTTTGATAATATATCATGAATTTTGTATTAATTCCTAGTGATCGAATTTCAAGCAAGGGTATTGGCACGCCGAAATTATGTGCATAGCTTCCATTCTAGTTTAATATTAAATATAGAAAAAAAATTAAATTTACATGACAAAATTTCTTCTACAATACATCATTTTTATTTTAATAGCTTCCTAGATTTAAAGAGTTTGCTTAAATTGCAGTAGCTTTTGTAGGACATTCTTTCTTCGAATTCTTCTCATAATAGTCCACATTATTTCTTGTCCTTTTTGACAATATTAAAATCTTCTTTTTCCCTAGCTAAGTACAGAATGCTTATTTTTTTTCAACAAAATAACCCAGGAAACAAATACCTAAAGCGGGGCTGGAGAGAATGTTCGTTGTCTGTTAACTGTCAGAGCCATAACAACAACTTCATTTAAGTTTAATGAAGGTAATTAAATGTAGGAAAAACCGTTGTCGTTTTCCTTTTTCGTTTCACTCACTTTGCAGAGGCGAAACAATTTGAGACTATAAAGCCTCAGAGGAGTGCGAATAAGTATTCCAAAAAATATTCAACACCTTAAAAATTAAAATTAATTAACTGAAACAACGAGTAAGAAGTAAGCTTTCATTTAATTATATTTTGGAAATTTCTAGATAACATTCTTGTAACAAAAATCAATAAGCTTAAGAAAACATTAAGGGAAAAAAGAACATTTCCAAGGCCGCATCAAGTTACCAACAATTAAATGGAATCAACTGGCGAATTTAAAAAGCCAGTGAAGAAATGTTTGTGGATTCTTTATAAATGAACTTTGCTTCTTCTGCTGCGAAAGTCAGCTGGCAGTTATTGCAACTAATGAATCCGCTTAGCCCAGCAGAAATGCTGGGGCATTAAAAACCGAAAAAAAGCGGGAAATAAATCCCGGGAAAACATCCTTGGCTTGTCATTTTGGAGGAGACGAGACAGAGTTTTAATTATTTTTACTTAGCTGTTTGCTTAACCTCCTCTCGCAGTGCCAGAGCCAAGTTAATATTGCTGTCAACTGAAGCGCAAATGATAAAATGCAAGTCTACGAGAGAGAGTTTCCCAGATATTCCTTTTAAGACAGTATTTTTTTTGCTCTGTTCTCCTGTCTCTGAAAAGGGAAAAGGGGCCTGACTGACTTGCTGGTTTACACGACAAACAGAAGCCGAGATGTTGGATTATTTTCCGAGAATATGTTGCAGTGGTTGAGTGGAGGGAAACTTATTAATAACTTTATGCTACTTAAGCAAACTAAAGTAAAAGGGCAAACGCAGAAAGGACACAAGGACTTGACAAGTTTTCATGCTACGACAACTCGCAGGACTAGAGCCAGGGACTCGAAATGTGCATTTGGAATGTGAATGTTTTTGGCCGACTTGTAATCCGCTTAGTTGCCAAATGACTGTCAATGTGGGCGACTCGGGACCACTATCCCTCGCATCCTGCGTTCGAGAGGTCCTGCGTCTGTGACTGCAGAGCTGGAAAGTTTAATGCAACAATTACAGCATAAAGTTGCAACAGCAGCAGGACACAAAACCCAGTCTCAAACCCAACACCGAAACCAACGAGATCCCCGAATTGAACCGAAAATAGTTCATTGCCAGTTCTTGGTCATGGCATGAAGTGCATTAAATTTGTCTCTAGCCGCAGAAAGGAGTGAGAAACTTTCTAAATTATCTTGCCGCACAAGTTTTGCTATTAATGTGCCTCCCAACAGTCGAGGAAACAGAACAGAAATCTTCGATAATTCGTCCTAAAAGCGAAGCAGACCAAATCTGTTGGGAAAACTTTCACGAATCGAAGAAGAGAAATCTCTCATAAAGTTTGATTCTAACTCGAGTTTTCCCGTTAAGGTAAACTAAGGGAAAGCCAAAGTAATTAAAAGGCACTGGACATGACAAACAATTATGTTTGTATGATTAAAGGGAAGTCTTGGAAATCGATCAAGATAAGCTTAAACTATGTAATATTTATACACATTTTTATATGACCTTTTTTTTCTACAAATCAAAGTTTAAAAAACTCAAAAAAGCATTAATTTCAATTCGGAAAGCAGTCCCATGCTAGTTTTTATTTGGTTAATATATCTGCAAACTTAATATAAGATTTTAAAACATTCAATATTTTGCAAAATTTCGGAAATTTTGGTGGAAACCCTTATAACATTTTGAAAATTTTGAAAAAATTAAATTTTTGCCAGATATAGCTAGATCGATTACTTTTTTGATGCTGATCAAGAATATATACGATTTATTAGGTCGGAAAAGACTTCTTCACATTGTTACAAGTTTTTGAGTGAAATTATAAACGGTTCAAATGTATAAATCAAGTATTACAGTATTTATAAAATGAAATCAATTTTCTGGCTAATAATCTAATTAACTATTGGCTTTTAGCTTAATGGATTTATAATTAAATTCCTTAATTCCCCAAAAACAAAAGAATTGTTAAGCCTCTTTTCATTGGCCAATGTATAAAGCTTTTAAACAGCAATAAAAAGGATTCTATTTAATTAAGTAAATTACCTTTTCTGAACATGAAATAATTGTATTTTCATATAGCATATAGAAAAGCATATAAAAATGAAATTGCATTCGCATGCAAAGGCTTAAAACGTGCTAAATTAATAATTTCGTTCACAGAAAAGTTATAACAACTATTTCTATTTCGATACGTGCCCGAAAGTCCCGTGCTGTGATAAAGCTCAGGATTCAATTATTGGACTAACCAAACTGTTAGTTCAATTTTCACTCTTCAAAAAAAGTTATTTTCAAAGCCGATTTTAAAGCTCGAAGCCGAAGGATAAACTGGAAAATATTTTCCTAAGCAGGCCATGGCCAAGCTGTTCATTCATCAGCCTTTAATCAACATTACCTCCGCAGGACCAGGGAATAAAAAACGAGAAACAGCCCGAAAACTACACAGCAACTGGCAGCATCTACTCCTACTAACCTACATAAAAACTAAAGCAAAAACAAAAGGCAAAAACATCCTGTAAGATGAACAAAAGCAGAACCGAAAGCTCTTTAACGGCCTTTGTTTGCACTTAACTATATAGCCAAGGACCCCAGTAATATCTTGTTGCTGTCCTGAACTTGCTGACCAGGTCAGCTCATCAAGAGTAGCGAAACCGAAGGACGAGGAAGGAGACAAGGGGCACTTTGTAGTTGCTCCACTTGAAACTTTATGCTAAACTACAGTTCAGCGATTCACAGATTACACAGGAGCAGCACCAGAGACAGGACATGAAAAGCGTTGACTGTAAATAATGTTAGATAATTATTTAGTTTGTGTTTTTCCAGCGGCCTCCCCTGCCTGCCAGAACCACTTTTGGGGTAAATCAACAGAATACAAAACAAGCAATGAGTGGATTTTTGAAGTCACTAGAATATGAGATACCTGGTAATTGTAACTACTACTTTTGGTGCTGAAGGATATACTTTACTAGGATTAAATACATTTTCTGAGAGCTTTAAGGGATGTGATTCTGATTGATTGTCTTTATCTAACTTCCTAGTTTTATATTCATTACTATATACCCATGAATTCCTTGAAACTACTCGGTATCAAGACAGCAGGAAGTGCTTCGAGATTCTGTACTGAGGCTGTCAGATTTTATGTTTCGGTTCCTGAGATATATTTTCACATCATAAAAAAGGAAGAAGCGGATGGTGGCAACGATGAAAGTACTCCACGGCGGCCTGTCCGTTTATTTATTGCGCCTATTTTGCGGTTTAGCGGTTTTATGGCCACTTCCAGGCATTGTTTTGCCGCCCGCAGCCGACTGTGTAATTATCTGCCTTAGCAGCGACTAATTAGCTTAAGGTTCCGGCAGCCTTTTGTTGTTGTCCCAGCTGCAGCTTTACAGCAAGGACTCATTAAAGTTGGGCCCCTTCCCTAGGTTTTTGGCGGCCGGATAAATCAGCGTCACTTTTAAATATGGCCAAAAATAAATTGCCAACAGGCTCCTGGCCTCACACAGATAGATATAGAGTCAGAGAGAATGTGGCATTTAAAACAAATCTGGAACGTGGTGGAAAATGTTGCGCTAATTGAAAATCCTTTCAAATCCCAGACGAGCCGGCGAAATGAAAATAGATTGTCGCGCATTGCGTGCGAGAAAACGCATTTGCATGGACTGCAAGGGTAGAGGGGGGTGTTTCGAGCCGGAAAAATAACCAAATGGCCAAAAGCCACTTAACACTTGTTCGGAAAATCCATTAAGTGCCCAGAATTTCGCTGAAATTGTATTTCATTTTCTGTCATTTCTTTTGCAAGCAATAAAATAGTTCTAATTGGCTCTGGCATCGAAATGGATGGTCATCCAACTAAAATATCTTGAGAGGATTACGTTTTACAGCATATCTTCTCACTAAAATTGTTTTTAAATGAATTCAGGTTTCAAAGTATTTGATTTCTTTAATTAAGATTCAAAAGATCCAAGTAAAAGTGGTTGCAACGCTGGAAAGTCAGTTTTGTAAAAGACTTTTAAAGTTATTGCTTAAGCTATACAATATAATATTTAAATCTCAAATGGAAAACTATTTTTTAAATAATCATTTAAATGTTTAAATACTCCTTAAAGTTTCCTACCTTTATCTACAAAAGTCCCCTGCAGACAACTTATAAACAACCAGTTTTGTTTTCTCCCTTTTCCTGGCTTAATTAGCCGCTATGCAAATATTTCTCCATCCACCCTCAGTTATTTTTATTTTTTTAACTAAACTAACAAATTGCCTCCCTGTCTGGGCGAAAAAAAGTGTTACAAAATAAAGCAAGAAATACAGAATTTGTTGCCACTTTATGCCGTTGAAAATGCATGGGTTGGCCATGTTAACCCCTTAACCTTCCTTTTCTTTTTTCTGTATGTGCAACCCACACGGAGGACTGTCCAAACAGATGTCAGTGTCGTCGTTATTTTTGTATATTTTTTTTTGGTTTTGCTTCCGCTTTTCATAGGGGAGTTTTCCTCGCAGCAAATTGCATTAACAGGGAAAAACAGAGCGGAGGCAAAGCTCCGTGGGGAATGGAAGGCAAGAATGTTGCTGCTTAAGCCGCTTAATTGTCACACATGAATGGGAAATTTTTGGGGAGCCGCTTAGCGCTTGGGGGTGTACAGAAGGACAATGGCCCAGTGGTGTCTCCATTCCGGGGTTTCTGTCTGTACTTACTCAGTATGATAATCAGGCAGACGAATATGGCCCCTAATGCGCCCATGCTCAGCTTTAGGCGCTGTCCCTCCTGGACCAGCTCACAGTTCTCTCCCCAATATCCCTCCGGACAGATGCATCGATATCGTAGGCGGGGCTCCAGATTGATGCAGGTTGCTCCATTCAAACAGGGCAGATCCAGGCACTCGTTGCGATCCACACAGCCCTTGGTGTCCGAGGACATGATGCGACCTTCGCTGCAACTGAAATGAAACAATCGCAAATGGATGGTGGATGTAGAGAGAGTTATTACAAATTCAAAAAAGGAGATTACTAGGATGGGTAGAAATTTATGATGGCACTGCGGGATGTTACACTACTGGAAAATAATCCAAAAAGAAGCTTATCGAAGAATATAACTTATTTACCAAACATGGAATGCAATATATTCAAAAGCACTTTGTTATTATTTTAGTGAAAAGCTGCAGAGATGGTTTAAAATTCCAAATATAAATTTAAAAAAATTTAATTTTATGTACCTAAAAATGGTTAGAAGAAAAAATATATATAATTTATATAGGAAATATTTTTCCTTGTATTCCCCATTTAATTAATTTTTTTAAAAAGCTTCAACTTTATCTAAAGTGTAGTCCCTCTCCTTGGAAATATTTTTGCTTGGCAAATGCAAGCTTCCTATTTTTCCATTTTCACACAAAGTTTTGCAACCGAGGAATAGAATAATTCCCCATGAGTTTTTCGCCTTTCCTCCTGTTTTTTGAAGCGCATTAAGGGCGTGAAGTTTTTTGGTTAGACGTGGGGGATCCCCAATCCAATTTAACAGAGGGAAAAGTTAAAGCTTTAAGGTATATGTATATACTATATGCATGTGGTATACGGAAAATGTACACATTTAAATTGAAGTCATTTCGTATTCCAATTGAGGACAGCTTCTTGTCCAACATCTTAGTGTCCCGGCTGAGTGACACAAATTCCTCGCGTGGCACTGCGTTAACTGCTGCCCACAGACGGCAGTGAAATTGAGGCTAAAGTAAGCATAATTTATGACACGTCACCACCTGAAGGCGAAACGTGTGCCACTATTTAAATTTATTTAAATAAAAAAAAATGAAGAAACGTAAAGAGGAAGGACCAAAGACCAAAGACGAGCCGGGCAAACACGTGTTAAAAGGCAGCAGAAGCAGCAGCAGGCCCAGATGTTCCTGTTCCCAAAAGCAAATGGAGCGAGAAGCTCACAGCTGGGGTGCTTAGTAGTCCTTGGTCCTGGCTCTTTGGCAGGAGGATGGCGAAAGGACATGATGCAGTGCCAGATTGGGTGTCCTTGCCTGCTGGCTGTCGTCGGGTCTCAAATGGAGTCACTCCGCAAAACTAATGATGTGGAAAATGTGCTCTGCCACCGCCACTGCGACCCATCATCGATGAGGTGTTGCCGAGCAGAAGCCGGAGGATCAGGAGTCGTGCCCCAGATTCCCCAGGAACTTGCAAATGTGAATGCTTCATAGAGGAAACACTTGCGAAAACGCAAAATCTAAACATATTTCTACGAATAATACTTGGGAATATGGAAGTGGAAAATGGCTAACAAATTAAGAAAAATGTGTTACCTCTCTTTTTAAGAAAAAGTATCAAAATAAAGGTATAAACGAAAAACTGAAAGACATACATTTAACTGATGTTCGAAAGTCTCTTAAAATATTATATTTATGTGACATTTTCGTACTGAATATAATCTTCGTCAAGGCCAAGCCAATGTTTGAATATAAAAGAATTACATATATGTTTTTAAATACATTTTTCATTCCCTATTTGATTTTTTCTGACTGTATCTCCTACTTATTTCTGTGGTGGCTGGGTTTGCATGAGCTAAGGGAGTCAGGCAATGACAATTGATATTATTGTTTTGCATTTGAAGTCAATTTGCTGTTTGGCTTTGTCTGTGTGCCTGCATCTGGAAAATGTCAGGAAAGTATTTGTTTTTTCTCAGAAATATGCATGCCAGAAGGGATGCGGTTTTGCTTTTAACCAAATGATTGCAAAAAGGGTTCAAATTATATGCAAGAAAATGCATAACTTATACATTTGCAAAACTAATAATAATAAGCTCTTTCAAGAAATAATACTATTCATTTAAGGCTGTTATGACATAATTCATTTAGCTCAGTTTAACAATTACAAAACAGTTAATTACAGCCTTTCGTGTGGGCTTATAATTTAATCAAAAGACCCAGCAAACTTACAAGAAACCTTAAAAGCAAGTGTAAAGTTGAAAATAGATACTTACGTGCACTCGTATTCATTCCACAAATCGACACAGTCAAAGGGATCCGGGCATATGACATTGGAGCAGGGCCTGTTCGAGGGACAGTTCCTTTCCACATTCCTGGCCATCGTCGCCTGGCCCCATTGGGTGCCATTCATGGCGGGCGGCAAGGGTAGATGCTTCCCATCCAACCTGCAGTTCGAGAAAAGGAAATAAATTCAAGGAATTGGAATCAATATTTTATGCAGAAACATCTCCCTCACTGACTCGTATGATTTGTGGTCCAACTACCTACAGACTGTGGATAAGAACCTCTAGTTCTTCGATTTATGGGAAAAATATTGAGCTGGCAAGATAATCATCTCTTTAATTTAAGCTATATCTAGCTGGAAGTTTTTTATATGAAAATAGATGGAAAGTAACCTTGAAATACTGCTTTAAATACGAGTTCCTGTAATCATTTTTTTAAACACTCTTTGGCAAACCATCATCGTTTCTGTTAGGGTATCCTTTCTTTCCTAAAAATCCTTAAAATCTGCAAATGAGGGCTAAAATCTCTCACCTGATGTCGTCCAAGCAGCTCCTCTGGAAGTCGGCCTGCACCTCAAAGGTCTTGATGCCCGTATATTCGGCCTTGCCGCCCGCATAGACGCCCTCCTGCTTGTCAATGGTCAACCATTGGTGGCCGGTGTAGTGGAAGGACTCATTGTACCGTCTCGATTCCCCGCCATCAAGTTCCATCAGAGCTGCCGATCCATAGCGACTAATGCGAATCACGTGCCACTGTCCATCGTTGACAGCCACGGCCGTTAAGGTGAGGAGCTGCTCCTCATTCCGCAGGGAGTTCAGGTTATACCTAAACTGAAGGTGACCTCGTCGCAGCTCCAGGATGGCATATTCCCGATGATGCTGGTCACTCACCCGGAAGAGCTCGCCACCCTGCTCCCGCGTACGGAATCTCAGCTGCAGTTGGGTGGAAAAACGATCGGGTTCAAAGCTCAGGCGAATTTCACATAGCTCTGGGCCTTGAAGGTTGTGGGTATGGTGGGTACATTACAGCCCGGACCCATCCAGCCCGGCTGGCAGTGGCACTTGGCCTGGACCAGGCTGGCCACACAATTGCCATGCTCCCAGCATCGAGCCGTGTGCTCGGTCTTCAGGCAAACCTCATCGGTTTGTGGACAGGCGGGGAAGCTGTTTCTGGCCAGAGCTGGGAACGCCAGGTCATAATGCTCCGAATTGTGAATAACATTGCGGATGCATCCATCGAAACCCTTTGAGCTAAAGGCATACTGCCAATTGTAGAGAGTCTGATCGAAATGCTGCCTGTAAAGTCCGCCAAGTTGTAGAGGTTGATTCAGATTTAGAGATTCGGCAAACGGAGGAATTTGTCCCCGGGCCTGGCATGCATTATCATCGAATTCCGGCGGAGTGCCATCCTCCATTTCGGACACCAAGGCAGTGCGACAAAAGTCCACAACCATTCGTACATTCTCAGCATCCCAGAAAATGTCCAAACGATGCCAGACTCCATCATCCAGGGTTTTCTTTGTCTTGACTTTTAGTTCCAGCGTTCCGAACCGAAGTCGATGAGCAGCCGGGGATTTCCCTGTTCCAGTTCCAGTGAGACAAAGTCACTAATTACGGGTTCACCTGGCTTTGGCGGAACAATGGGTCCGTTGTATAGGATCAGACCATCCGCTTCACGGGTAATAAATTCCAAACTGAGATGCGATTCCTGGCAGAGTTGAAGTGGCGGATACCAGGCCCATCCATTGCCTCGAAAGCTGCGCGTGGATTGCTGGCATCGTGGCCCATTGTAACCCACCGGACAGGCCACACATTTCGGTCCATTTCGGGTCTCCACACACCGGCCTCCGTTGTAGCAAAGATGACTCCTGCAGTTGTGATCCTGATTGGTGAAATTCCTGGCCCGGCACACACACTGGGCACTGATCTCCAGGCGGACGCCGACCAAAGCAGTTCGATTTACACTAACCGTATAGGGTTTTTTGCCCAACTCCACCTTGGAGGAGCAGGAGCCGGAGCCACACTTGCCTTTGCCCTCCTGGAGGCACTCATTGATATTCACCATGGTGATATTCAGACCCACTTCCTGTTCGATCTCCTCGCGATGCATTTGCACTACACCATTCAGGCGAACTGCCTTGAAGTAAGGCTGTTGGGTTGCAGATCGAGCTGCAAAGTGAACATCTGTCAAAGGATAGGGAGTGTCCTCCTTGAGCTGCACACTAAACACATCCACATTATCGCGATCCGTGTACAATAGTTCCGCAAGTTTGTTCCTAAATCTCTCCAGCTTCGAGGGTTCCACTTGATTCTTTACCGGGTTCCAAGTTCGCACAAAATCCTCATCGGTAATATGAGCCAGTCGCATCGAACCAGCCTGCTGCACAGCCTCTGATGTTATGTCGCGCACGGTAACACTCAAGTTGGCTGGAATATCTTCTTGGCCATGCTCCCGATCGTAGACCTTGAACTTGAGTTGATAGCGACCCCTTCGGGTTCCAGCTCTCATCGTAAGGATTCCTGTGTCCGTGTCCAGTTTGAATCTTTGATGTTCCTGCACCTCCCAATAGTATTTCTTGTCGGGCACATCCCAATCGTCCGGGTCATTGACATACACTCTACCAATCGGGGTATCCTGTGACTGTCCTTGATAATTGTAGACCAGAACTGATTTGCTACCAGGTTGCATCTTATTATCATTCACATCGCCAATGGTCACGGTCAAGGTGCTAGTTCCCGTCATCGCTGGTGCTCCATTGTCCTTGATTTCGATGGGAATGGCATAGGTTTTTGCACCTCACGATCAAAGGGGCGAAGGGATGAGACAATAGCCACGCCATTGCCACTGTCACCTCCTGGAAAGGTAATGTAAATGGAATGTGTTAGTTATTACAAGGGAAAACATTCAGTGAGAGGAATTACTAGTATATAATAAAGAAATCTTTGTTTTATATTTTAAAGAACATTTTGAAATTAGTCTTAATTTAACTGTAATCTTTATCAAAGGATTCCTTGTTTTTACTTTTTACTAATTACTTTGCCTAAGAGGTCGAAAAAGAGATCTTTTTCATTCAAAAAGGATTCGAGTGATCATAAGAATTGAGCTCATTGTTCTGTATTTAATAAATTTATTTAAGCTTTAAAAAACTCATTTCCGGACCAAAACTTTAACTGGTAGATTGCTTTTGCATTGGTAATACTATCCAATCGGACTCCCGGGCGAATTTGCATTCGGCCAAAATGCACTGGCACTGCAGTTGGCAAAGCTAACCAGAAAACGCTAAAATCAAACAACTTGCAATTCAAAACCGAACCCCCCATTTTCGAAGCGCCAATTCCAATCCCACTCCCCCAACACCAAACCCTCTGGCGCATTCAGTTCATTCATTCAAGGCAATTGCCACACAATCAAAGGCGAAATCAAACGCTAAACCAAACTCTGTTTGCATAGTAATGGTGATTGAATTATGTTTCAGACAATCAGCATCATCAGCATTGTTTGTGCCACAAAGTTAGTAACCAAAAAAAAAAAAAAAACACTGTAAAAGGCAACTAAGGAAACTGTGGGCCGAGATAGAGAAATTGGTAGAAAAGTGCCATAGGAGGGAGAAACAGAGAAATGTGGACACAACTCGGCCTGGAGGCATCATCTCAGTTGATGCAGTTGCCCCGGCTCTTGTTTTCATTGCGATTTGGTGTTTTCCATTCATGGGTTTTCCCCAGAGGAAAGAGTACACGCACTAAAATGGATCAACGTTCGGTTTTCTAGGCTTTTATATTCTTTTACAAAATGAAACTTAGAAAAACAGAACCTTAGGTTAGGGAAAGGCTGAATGGATTCTCATTGATTCGTAAATGAAACTTGTATAAAAGAAAGGCTATCTCAACTGTTTTATATTATGTATGTTTTGTTTGCACTTAAAGCACGCGTTTCCTGAATGAAATACATGTTTATAATACTTTAAATAAGGCTCATTTAATCCATATTGTTTTTAAATAAATATTATTGTTAAGTTTCTATATTTGTTTGTATTTATTTTAAAATCTCTGAAAGAGTATGCCTTCAGCCAGCCTAAGACAAATTAATCTCTCTATTTCAGTTTTCTTCTTCTCTCTTGTTTTTTGTCAAATGGAAATTGCTCTACACTTTTTGTTGCCATTGTCCTGAGTTATTTGAAACAAAAATCCCGAGCAAAAAACCAAAAAATAAAGGAAGAATGAGAAAAAACTTTAGAGAGCAACCCAATAAAATCGATCAAATGAAAGAAAATTTGAGGTGTCACTTGAATGCTGTCGCTGGCATTGACAGCAAGTTTTTCAATTTTCTCATCCAGTTTTTCTGCTTTGCCAGTTTGAATTTCAGGGTGAATTTTTCTTTTGTATTTGTGTGTCCCTCTGTTTTAGGGTCCATCCTCATTGATGTGTTTTTATCACTCAGTGCTCCTTTCTTTTTTTTGTATTATGTTTTGTTTTGTTTTTATGCTTTGCCAACCTGCCACGTGTTTGAGTGTCAAGTATCTGAGCCCCGATTGAAATCGGGCCCGAAAGGCATTTGGGTATCAAAATAAATAATTGATTTTCAAATGCTAAATTAATTATTCGGCCATAAACAAATGCTGAGTATAAATGCCTAAATAAATAAGAAATTAGTTGGGATACTAGCATCATATTAATTTGCATAATTACTTAAATGAGATGCGTAATTAGTATAAATTGCTCTGCCATATCGCATTGAATGCATTTTTAATCAAGCTAATGCATTATATATGTTGAACATTTTATTCTATAATTTCCAAAGTGTTGGCGATTATTTCTCATTAGCTTTTTTTACGCCTCTATGACAGATGTGCGGCTTAGTGAGCGTTTTAACGTTCTTTTTTTGCACGATTAATTATGCAAAGCGATTTGACCTGCCCTTGGACACATGTTGGGATAACGATTAGCATTGGTATATTTTTTTTTTTGCTGGAGGGAGTGCTTTTATGTTTTCTTTAATAATATTTTATTTAATGCATGAATGAATGTGGTGTAAAAGATATCTTTCAAATGTGTTTACCGCAAATTATTTAGAGGAATAAATAAATCAAGCAAGGAAACTAACCTCGAAAGCCCATGGTTTATATACCCTTGAAATTTTCAATTGCATATAATAAGAAATAAATAATAATGAAATTAAAAATATTATATATATATATTATATATTTTTAAAATCGATTTTTATTAATATTCCAAAATGACAATTTTTTAGTTAGTTTTAGTTCATAGTTAAAAAAACTCATAACTCAGCCAAAAAGGCATTCATTTAATTCTAAAAGCACTCCTATGTTGATTTTCTTAGGTCAATAAATCTGCATACACACAAAATTAAAGTTTTTGCCAATTTTTTTAATTTTAACGATGTAACCCCTTATCTTTTCATGAAAAAATTTCTAAATTTTATTATCTAGCCGACATGGTTGGTTCGACTCATTTGATTATGCTGATCAAGAATATATATGATTTATAGGGTCAGAAATGACTCCTTCACAGCGTTAAAAGCTTCTGACTGGAAACAAAAACATTTTTATCCAGTGCGTATACGTAATTTTTTGAATTTGGTATAAATAACAATGCATTGCTATTTTTTGTTCAAAATTCAGATCGGAAGAGGGCATTAAATGCATTTTCTTGCAATTTGGCTTTGACTTTGACTTTTCTTTAATTTTATTTATAGCACTTATAGCAGTGCCAAGAAAAAAATTACGTATACGCACTAGTGTAAATAGTATTTGATCATAACTTTGCTAAAAATGCATTAATTTCAATTCGGAAAACAGTTCTGTGTTGGATTTTGCAGGTTAACAAATCTGCATACTAAGTTTACAAAATAACAAAAAAAAAACATAATTTTGTCAGTTTTTGGAAATTTTAACCCCTTATAAAATTTTAAAAAATTTACAAAAATTTTTTCCTTTGGACGTGCCTAGATCGATTCAGCTATTAATGCTGATCAAGAATATGTATACTTTATAGGGTCGGAAACGACTCCTGCTCAGTTTTAGAAGCTTATGACTAAAATGATAATACCCTTCCATTTTATAAACAAATACAAACTTACTGCGGTCATATTCCACTTTGAAGCCGGCTCTGATTTCATCACTGGCCAAGGGATCCAAACGGAATGTAAAGGGTCCTCCATTGCCTCTCTGTCGATCATCGGCATCCTTGGCAGCCACTTCCACGATTTTCCCACCCGAAACATTTTCCGGTAGTGTGGGTCTATAATCCTGGGCAAAGGTCGGCGCATTATCGTTCACATCCTTGACTATCACAGTCAAAGTTGCAGTTGCAGTTCGCGCAGGGTGGCCATCGTCTATGGCCAGGATTTGGATGTGATGCCGATCGAGGGTTTCCCTGTCCAGGGTCTTTGTATGCTGACAGCTCCCTTGTCGCTAATTGCGAATTGCCTTCGCCGATTTGTGGATCGAACTATCTTGTAGGTAACCTTCGAATGACCACCCTGGTCAGCATCCGTGGCTCGAAATTGCTCCAGAACTGTACCCACTTTCGTGTCCTCGTAGATGGAGACTTCGATGTGCTCGCGATCGAACTTGGGCACATTGTCGTTGATGTCTCGCAGCTTGACCACCACCCAGGAGTACGCCACGTGATACTTATCACTACCACTCGGCCCATCCTCACCCTTATCGTTCACCTGAATGCGAAACCGAAAGCCACTACTCTGCAGGGGATCCTCATAGTCCAATGGTTGAATGATTTTCAGCGAACCAGTGCCATCCGCATTCCGTACCATGGCAAACTTATCCGCCCGAAGCCACTATTCGCCACCACTTTGTACTGGAACGTGTTGGTTTCATCCTCGTCCTGAACAGTCACCGTCAGGATGGGCGTCTCCGGGATGTAAGTGCCATTTGTCTCGTCCACCTCCGTGAACCACTCGTCCTTGGTGAACTGCGGCGGCATGTCGTTGAGGTCCTTGACGCGAATTGAGGCAGTGCCAGTGCCTGCAAAATTGGTGAATAAACAGAACAGAACAGTGCATCAGCATGGCGTCTATTACAGGGAAATGCAGTGGGAGAAATTAGGGGAAATTTATGAGAGTTTATCTTTAGAAAAATAAATAAAACACAGAGAGACAGACAGACAAGTAACCTTAAGGGTCTCAATTATCTGAGAATTATTATTAACATCCTCAAGGTCTGCCCAAGACAAGTAATCCAGTTGATTGAACTTGAATATTCACAGTAAAGAAATCAATATTTGGTCATTGAGCTAATTGCACTGGTAATCGATATTCGATTTATATATATTTACAAAAAGTCATTCCAAGGTGTCCGAATAGAAGGCATTTTTATTCCCAGAATTTATTTTTGCAATGGCCAAATCACGCCAAGGCTCTCAAAATTTCTGCGTATCAATATTAACGCCCACTCGAGGGGTTCGCAGTTAGACAAACAATCTGGCTGATTGAACCTTTGGTCGAGATATTCATGATACTCACCCTTCAGGCCGCCACCATCCATGGCCACCACCTGGATGGAGTAGTCAGGGGTTCGCTCCCTGTCCAGACAGCAGACTGCCGTTTTGATTAGCCCCGTCTCTGGTTCGATTTCAAAGATGGGTGCCCCCGTCTCCTCCTCGATGACGTTCTTCTCAATCGAATAGATTAACTTGGCATTGGTGCTCTCGTTGGGATCATCATAGTCCACGGCGGCCATGGTCATCACGGGACTGCCGGCAGTACCATTTTCAGTGACATTGCCAAAGTAGATGCCCTGCGGAAACTGCGGGCATTGTCGTTGATGTCCTTCAGGTTAACCTGAATGTCGGCATAGCCAACTAGACCCTCGCCACCCTCATCCTGGGCGAATACTGTGAAGCGCCACTGTGGCCTGCCATTGGGTTGATCTCGATCCAGGGGCTGTGGAATTGGAAAGAACACTCGAAATTACAATTTATTGCTACTTAATAAATCAGAGAGAATTAAATAGATTCCAATTTCGAGAGGGTATTTTTCTGACCATAGAAGTAAGGAAGGATATAGGAAGCGTTAAGAAAGTTGCACTTTTATTTTATCTTATATTTAGAAATACCATTTATATTTCTTATTACCAATGTCTGTTATTTTTCGAGTGTGGATAAGCCATTGGCAGCTGTTTGTTTGTTTGCAAATTATTTTATGCCCTTCGGTAAACTGTAACCGAGCAGAATCCTCTTGAAACCCTTGGGTCGTCGTCAGCCATTGGTTTGTGTGTTTTGTGTTCACCAACCTGGCTTTGATGGCATTTCGGTGGCTCGGTGGCTGGCTTACACACGAGGCGTTATTAGATTTCTATTTCTCATTAAATGAGTTATCCACACGAAATTGCATTGGCAATGACAAAATAAAAGCCATCCATTCGATTGAAATGTCCTCCAGTGTTCGCTTTCTTTCGTTTCGATTCGTTTTATTTGTGTTCGCCTCTAAATATGTCAACAATTTGGTATTGGACCGAGTTTGGCTTTGTCTCCTATTCAAATTACCCTTAAACATTGCTTGCTCAGCTAATACAGATACGTATTCCGTTTTGCCTGTATTTGTGGTCTAGAGTACGATTTGCTTTTACGATGAATTAATTCTGTAGTCTTATTGAAGTAAATGAAAGCTAAGTCCTGTGTATTTGTACTCAAGAAGCCTTCAACTGGTTGAGCCAAAACAAACTGTCAAGGAATATACAAGTGTAAGTACTGATGGAATAAATTATTGATCAAGGTTGAGTCGAAGAAAGCTTTAAATAATATTCCTATATATTTTTCTGTATTCTATTTTAATCTGGATAAAATTTAGGCTTATACTTCTCTCTTAATAGACTTTTATAAATACAATTCATTGAAAACGTTATGAAAATATACTTTTACTTATCAACAACGCTTTTATTTGCATTTTTCTGTATAGACTTCATTTATTCGCTTTGTGTTGTTCAAACCAAACCAGATTAATGATTCGTTTGCAGATCAATCAGCTGTCATAGCAAATACCCTTTAAGCCCGGTTCGCTCAATTAAAGCCGGGTTGCAAAAATATATATATATAGATATTCCGGCCACGTGACACGCAATGCGACTGCAATTACAATTTAAATGCTGTCAGTCAGCTGGCAAGAAGCCCAAAGCCTAACTTTTCCCTTTTTTTTTCAACCCACACTCAACCAACCATTTTCCTGCCTGATTTTACACTCAATTTTATGCGAGGAAACCGCGCTCCAATAACGAACGACGAACGTCATTTACATGTGGTCGGTTGTAGAGCGTCAAAACCACAAATGCCACATGCTGTCGCTGCCACGCCCACATGCCCCAATGCCGCCCATTTATCCCCCTTCCATTCAACCCACTTTATCCCTATCGCATCGTGGGGGAAACAACCCTATCCGCCAACAATAAAACAAATAAAGCAAACCAACCGCCAGCAGCAACATTTGAACATTTTATGCAAACTGCAGAGTGGGAGGTCCATCTAGCTCTGTGTGTCCAGCAGTGGTGGCAACTATTTACGAACCGGAACTAGCTTTCAACTATATATTTTGATATTTGATATCATAAATGATAAATAAAACATATTACTTTGGAATTTGTAAAGACAATAAATTCCACATCACAAATATACATTTATGAACTAAAAACCTTATAGTTTCTCAACATTAGGAGAGGGTTCCTTTCCACCCAATTATTTTCCATTTAAAAACACTCCCTCCTATTAGTTAATTAATTAATCTTATCCATTTTAAATTGATGATAAGATACCTCTTTTTTATGTAATCCAGAGGATGCAGCACTGCTAGCCACTCGTTCGCTGATGCCCTCTTTGACCCGTTTGTTTTTATGGACTCTGTGTGAAATTAATTGGAGTCTATGTAGCTGACAACCAACGGTGGCAGTCCTTTTTGTTGCATCTAAATGTCATTATTTTTTGTTTGTTGTCCCACCATCCACCCACCCAGTGTCCACAGTGTGCGGTTTGACACAGTTTTAAATTAATCATACGCCACCGAGTCGCGCCGAAAGCTTTTACAATTTACAAAAGTCGAGGGAATGACAGCAATCAGAAGCCGACAAAAAGTGTTAAATATTGAACACGTTTTCAAGCGTTTCCGTTTATGAAACAAGTGATGCTGTTGAAAAATATTAAAAGAGGTGTCAAGTCACTTAACGTTTTTTTGTATGGTATTTTGTTGCTGCATGGTAAAGGGAAACTATGTTGTACCTTATACTTGTGCAGTACTATAAATAATATTTGAAATTAAAAATATTTTAGATAAAAAACAGTTTAAGTATTGATTTCATTATCTTCTAAAAATATATTTAAACTCTAAACCTTTCCATTTTTTAGATCTCTTTAACTTAATTGTTCTGCTGGGTACTATAGAAAAAATTTAATGTTTTCCATTCTCAGTTTATTGCCATTAATTTTCCTATCAACAATTTATTCAATTTTACATTTTCTAAATCCAAAAAAAAACTTTTACTCTTAAAATCGTTTTTCTTGCTTTTTTTTATGCAAATATTAAGTAGGTGCAGGCGGCTTTTTTAATGCCAATAAAAATTATGACGTTCTTGGTGGACTTTAGGTTATTTATTCAAACCAGCACTTGGACACACACAGCCTTGGCAAGGTCACCCGACCCGCATAAATTCAGGGTAGCCATGGGGCCAACCCATACTCAACGTCCAAAAAGGCAGTGACCCTCTCATTTTTTAACTGTTCACTCGTCACACAATATAAACTGCGCCATTGTACGAGCATAAACTGTGGCTCAATTGTGACGGCCCAAAGCCGAGTCCCTCTGGCTGCAGATACCCCCGAGGGGCTTATGAAAATACCCCCAGCTGGAACACAAACGGAAAAACTTATTTTCCTTTTTTTATTTCCTTCTTTTTTGTGCAATGCTGTTAGGGGAAAGTCAAAGAGAGTGGGGACAATTTTTTAACTGACTTTCATTACGCCCGTTTTACGAAGGGGAACTCGAAATTGGAATCTGTTAAGGGTAATATCACCCTGTAAACATTTAATAAGCTGATCAACTTAAGGTTATAATAAATAAATAATACATTCTTAAAAACATTCTTAAATACTCAAAACGATGCTCAACAAAACACTTACCTTGAGTACAAAAATATCGCCCGTTGTGCGATTTATATCAAATTTACTATTCGCAGGATTATCGGGGTCGATGCCCTGGCCAGTCAGGAAATATACAATATTTATTGGTCTATCTACATCGCCATCGGTGGCGGTAACCTGAAAAAGAGAACGAAATGCGGTTTGGTCACAAAAAAGTGCATTATATCGGATATACATATATATAGAGAGAGAAAGAATCGAAATCAGAATCAGAATCAGAATCGAAATCATTTTCAGGTGCTACCCAAATCGACGGGGGGTTAAGCGATTTTTCGTGCCCTCGCTGGACGCTGCTTACGATATTGGAGGCTATAAATCAAATATGCAAATGAGCCAAATGCTTTAAATGTCCAATAAAAGGGCAACGTGAATGTTGAAATGGGGAAAACCAGAGAGGGGTCGATGGGGGGAAGGTTGCAAAAAAATCTGGACAGTGGGCGTGGCCTTTGCCAGCCCAGATTGCTTGTAAATTTATGCTTCGATTTATTTTTTTGCCCTCCTATTTTTTGCCCATTTTATTTTTTGCTTCCCCTCAATGGACGCCACAAAATATTGTCAGGCGGACAAAAAAAAAAAAACTGAATGGAGAACAAAATGCTAATATTACAGAGATTTATGTAATTATTCAATCGGATTTGGGGTTTTCTTTTTTTTTTTTTTTTGTTTTATTGTTTTATTTTTATTTTGTTCGTTTCTCGGCCTTGCGGTTAGTAAATGAAATCAGCATTTAGAAGTATTTTCTTGGAATATTTGATCATAGGCAAAATGGTCATTGAGTTTGATTGGGCTGAACGAGAGAGGAATAAAATCGAATAAATGTGAAACAATTGAGCAATTTTAATCCGCAGAGACTTGAAAATATTTTACTCTAAATTGAGGCATTCGACACTTATATTTACATCAGAAAGTATTGGGAATTATAATAGAGTGTGTAAATGCACTTCAAGTACTCGTAATCCTTTTTTAACAAGCGGCTAAATACTTGAGAAATATGTTACTGAGTAAAATGCAATATGCAAATTTTGTTGCCAATGCAGATAAAAAGGGAATAATGTAACTTAAAGGGAATAATTGCCTTGTTCAGTTCAGTTCCCTTTTCGAAACTGAGCATCCTTTTCACTCTGGCCAAGTGGAGTTATCAGAGTGTTAAAACAAAGCAAGTTATGCATGAGTCCTGCATGTGTGCAACCCATTTTCTATTGTAATGCGAAAGGGAAAAAGCGGGTTTCAGCTGACAATTACAGGCAAACTTGTAGCAATATCCTTTGGGTCCTTGGTACATTAAATCATCGTCACGTGTTAAGTGCCTGCCATTCCGCCCGCCGCCCCGTAATCTCCCAACCATTTCCCGCACATTCACAATGCGACAATTTACGTTAAATGTTCAACACAATTTGATATGACAAAAGAGTTGTCTACGTGCCATCATTGTGCCCATTATTATTGCCTCGCCCCGCCCCGCTTCGGGGGCGGAAACGAGCCTTCGAGTGGCATCGTTCCATTGTCCTTACGCAGGAGTCCCGCCCACAGAGCTCCCCCCATTCATGGTTATAATTGAAATGCCTTTACCATATATTCCAGGCAAGTGCAACGCTTTACATAAAATATTTGCATTGCACAGGAATCAATTTGGGTCCAAAAGGTGTTGGCGATGGCAAAAGAATTTTATTCAAAGATATATATATATATATATCGTCAATTATGCGGGCAGCCAGGACAATGCGTGTCCCCTGTAGCATTTTGCCACGCCATAAATGTGTAATTAAAAAATCGCCTTGTTTTTAAGGATACGCTCGTTGAGCTGTGCAATTTTAATTTGTATTTAATGTTAAAGTGCAAGCCAGCAAAAGTTGGCAGAAATTGCATGCTCTTTGCATGAATTGAAACTCAATTGACTTAAGAAATATCTCGAGGGATTTCAGATATTATGTATAATGGGATACATTAGCTATTTTTTGTGAATCTATCTCTAGCTTCATTTGCTTTTGCTTTCATCAGTTTTTCCGGTTAACAAAACATTTACTAAATAATTGTCATTTCCGTTAATGCAGAGTATTCAAATTTTGATGTAGCCATAAAGTTTGTTTTCCCCTGAACTCTGTACTTTATGCTGGTAAATTATTGCTTGAATAAAAGTCGCTTGTACAGAGATATATACACACGGCATGAGTGTTATTCTTATGTGTGTGTGCATATATGAATGCGGATACATAAAGTTGATGTATGTATTTATGTGTGTGTGTGCAGTGGCATTGCGCAACTATCACGTTATTATTAATGAATGAGTATTTATTTGTATTTACGGCTGAATTGTTATACGCGAGAACGGAGAGAAGTTTTCCCTTTTTGCCAGGCCCGGTTATCCGCATTTTCTCCGCTTTCCCAATCACATTTCGTGGGGATGCTATCCGTTTGCCACTTGAGTTTCCCAGCCTGCTGTTTGCCTTCGGCTTGCCATTCTTTTTTATTGTTTCACTTTTTTGGCTTTTTATGCAAATTGCGTATATTGTGTGTATTGTATTGAATTTTCTCTGAACTGTTCGTGGTGCTGCTAGTGTCAATATTTAAATTGTGCGAGGCCGATAAAAGTTGCTCTGGAAAGTAGGCAACACTTTTAATCGGATTTCGTTCGACCACCAAAAGTGAAGACTGAGGCTTTATTTCATTTCTTGTATTTTTAAGATGAAAAGGAAGCCATTTTGAGGTGTATATTTATTGAGCAGGTAGTCACTTACCTGCAGAATACGTTTGGGCAGATTGCGATCGTCTTCCTCAGTGATTTGTGTGCGATATGTTTGACGATCGAAAACCGGTGGATTATCGTTGACATCGCGAACGTTGATCACAACGGTGGTGTAGTTGTTTTTGCGATTTCTCGTCGCCTCTAGCCGAAGTTCATACTGTAAAATAATATAAAACAAGAAAAAAATTAGAGAAATATTGAATATTTTCCTAAAAAGTACATTACAAGTCTTTTAAGGCACTCAAACCTTTCACAAACATACTTTATTGTTTTGCAACTCACCAAAACTAATAATGCTAATGCAGATAAGTGAATTGAAAACCCCCTAAACAAGCCTCAACAGTATTTCCAAAACACAAACTACATTTATGAAAATTTTCCAGAAGAGAATTTTCAGAGAATTGTGTAGAGATTTATTTCGGCTTGACGTGCTTGATGCGCCTGATGCTAACTCTCGGAGTCGCAATTCGAACACAAAAGCTAAAATCGCATGAACGGGCATGGTAACTTTTTTTTCCACGGGTTGAACAAAACAAAGTAACAAAACCAAATAAAAAAGTAAGGGAACAAAAAGAGTAGAACCAAATACGAAATTGGCAACACATGTTCGGGCACTGTGCGGCTTGTTGTTTTGGTTGTGGCACTAGTAGAGCTTGTTGCATGGCTGGGCATTGACAGCTACACGGATTTCCAGTCCTGTGGGGGTGCCAGAAACAAGTTGCGTAGAGGTGATGAGTACGCTAGGCAGGATATGGGGGAACAGGATCTATCCATACATGTACATGTGTCTCATATCCACAGAGGAATACATTTCAATGGAGATGCCATATCAAAATAAGCTCTTAATGTTGAAAGAATGTTTGAAGAAATTTTGAAGAGCAAACTTTTTAAATAACTGATAATCAGTTGAATAAATTTATCTATTAATTCAGTTTCTTATACATTCATTTCTTATACATTCATAAAAATTATATTAATAAGCAAACTCAAATTCTTAGTGAAAAATTAAAAACAAAATCTTGTAGTTAATTATTTTCCCCAGTGCCGAATGGGGGCGTGAGCAATCACGTTAAAAATGCGCATTGGGAAATGTAACGACAGCTGTAGCTGTCTATATATCCCACGAACCCTCCGGCTCTTTGGAATGGAAATGCTTTCGGCGTGTAAGCGAATTTTCCCTTTTTCGGATTAATTTTTTTTAAACCCCTCGTCCTGCCTTGTTGAAAGTTTGACTCCCTTTTCTTTTCCCCAAAAAAGTTTTTTGCATAGTTTTACATTTTTTTTTTTTTTTGTGTTTCTGTCTTTTTTGTTGTTCCTTACCAAGGCAGAAAAATATATAAATTATGCATGCAACGCAAAGTTAGACCCTAGAAGCAAAAATAAGACTAAGAAAAATGTGCATCAACTTGTAGACAAGTGTCTGTACTGGCAGAAAAAAATATGAAAATGGAAATTAAAGTTAAAAATATATATACAGTCAGACTGAGTTACTATCGGTACAAATACAAATATTTTTAAGAACTTTCTTTACACTATATAAAGAAAAAGGCATTAAAGTCGTAGTTTTATTGTTACTAATGGCAGGGTATTATTATTTGGAAGAAGAAGAAGCCTTTAAAAATATGAAGAGTCATTTCCGACCCTATGAATCATATATATTCTTGATCAGCATCAAAAAAAAAGAATTGATCTAGCTATGTCTGACTAAAATTTAAATTTTTCGAAATATTTAAAAATGTTATAAGAGGTTACATCGTTAGAATATTCAAAAATTGACAAAAAGTGTAATTTTTTAACATTTTAAATTGGATATGCAGAATTGTTATCCTATTAAAAACTAACATAGGAAAGCTTTTTAAATTAAAATTAAATTATTTTTTTTTTCTTAGTTATGAGATTATAAACGTTTCAATTCGTCTAAAAATATGCCATATAAATATTAATTTAAAGAATTCAAATATTATAAAGCTTAGTTATATATAATAGATAATAATAGATTTCCTATTTAATACTGAAATTACAAAGAGACTGCAAGGGCCCCTATACTTCGGTATTCTTTATTTTCCTTCATGTTTAAGAATTCATTTATTGTTAATTTAGATTATTTCTTTCAGTGCTGGCTAGTGGGTGAGCCCGAGACCCTGCCAGCAGTTGTGTAGACATTTTCCTGTGCAGTCAACTACTTACCCTTGGCCGCGTTTCGTAGTCGAGTGGACTTGCCACGTAAATGACACCGGTTGTGTTCTGTACGGCAAAGGCATTGCCTATGTTACCGCCTGTGATCTGGTATCGAATATTCGTCGCTGCAAGGATAAAACGTGGAAAAATTGGCGTTAAAAGGATTAAATTTAATGCGTCAGCGCACAGGGTTAATTAAGCTCGTTTATCGAGGGCATGGCGCCCACTTGGCGTATACGTAATGGAAATTAATTCGATTGGATTCTATTAAGATGTCAAAAGAAAGCTGAAAAGAGTTTTAAATTAAATAAAGGAGTCTTCTTTGCTTATCATTCACGTATATTTTATATATAATTTCTATACATATATATAAATTAGATTTAAATCTTCATCGTTTATTTCTAATTGTCTTTCTTATAGTTCTATTTCAACTTTAAGTTCGTAGTAATTTTAATTTATTTAATTGACTAAGAAAGAAAATATAAACTACAGATAAATTTTCTTCAAAGAATGAAGAAAAAGAGCTTTGCCGAGATCAAAAACAAAGAGCTAAAGTCAAGGAGGAAAAACGCAGGCAGCTGAAATAATTAAGTTCATTAAAAAAATTTTGCACCCACGGGAGAAGGGCGAAAGGACACGCCCCTGATGTTTTAAGGGAATGTCAGCAACAACAAGACGCCATATAATTTACTTATTTCATGTTTAAACAGCCTGCGAAAGTGTTGTCTTCTCTGGCGGAATATGAAAATGCTCTCACATATGACAGCCGGGACACGTCTGATGGAAACCTGGGGAAAAACCTGGGAGTGGAGCTGCGCGTGAGCGAAGAAAATGCGGGAAAATGCGGGGGGGAAACCAGGGACTGATGTTGCCACATTGTCTGTGCATTTATGCGGAAACGTGAAAGGCAAACATTAGCGTAAATTAGCGACGCGTAAATCGCTTAACCCGCTCGGCTAGCCAGAGATGAGGAGGGTTGGATGCTGGATGTTATGTGTTAAAAGTTGGCAGAACAGGAAGTCGGGAAGCTCGAGTTTTGAGGCATTATAACTTGGCCACATTTGGCTTTTGCTGTTTGTGGCCTTAACAGCTTTCTGCACAATTAGAGAATCTGCCTGAGATCTGCTTGAAAAGTTATAAATATTTACTAGATATCTAAATATAAAAGAGTAATTTTGCATGCAAAATTTTCATTTAATTATTTCTTTATAAACTCTTGTAACGAAACGCAAATTAAAGAACAAACTTAAACGCAGATATAAGCTTCTGCTGGAGCATTCTATTCTCCTTCTTGGGCATTCATAAAAATTGATGATAATTATCTATCTATCTATGATAAATAACTTGGATTGTACCCCAACTCTCGGTACATTTGATCTTGGGTAAATTTGATGAAAGTATCATATTGCTCAGCCATAGACTTGGTCAGCTGCACTTCATATTCTTCTCGGAGACGATCTTCAGTTTGTTCCATCAAGTCAAAGCACATATCTTTCAATTGTTGATAGGAAAACATATTTCGATTATCCTTAGTAATTATCTTATCAGTATTGCAACGTGTTGTCTGAGTTTCTGTATCCAAATCACTGGAATCTGAGTCCAAGAGTACTGGTAATCCTTCCATAAAATCGCTGGAATCAAACGCATTACATCTTTTTCAATTTTCTTATTATTTCCAGTCTTTGTGGATATGGGATTATTTTCTGTAATTTTTGTAGAGCAATCCTGACGCAGTCGCTTCGAAGGGATGATATCCTCCTGGATAACATTCCTTAAGGAATTAGATCGCTTACGGGATACTTTATACATGGCTAAGATGTTTTTAGATTTCTTCTTTTTAAATTTGGAATTATTATTTGACGAACATGTGATCTGTTCACTTTGAGTTAATAAAATGAACTGAGGGAGAGGAGAGTTTCCTCTATTGAAGTTTAACAATTGTCAGCCTGCTTTAGTTATATATTTAAATATTACATATGGTTAATAAAGTCAAAGTATCTACAATTTCAGCAACACCCCTCGCACAAGCAATTTATGTTTTATGATTTTTTCACAATCAAATTTACTGCTCATCGCTTGAGGAAAACCTATAAGATATTCTCTAGTTTAAACATCTACTTGTGCTTGTTTTTCTTTTCTACTTTTTTTATAATGTTTTATAATGCTAGAAATAACAAAAACAGGGGCATTAGGAGTAGCTCAGGCGAGTCGTGTTAAGTAGTCCCCAGCCTTAGACAATGACGTTTACAATTTACGATGTCATGACGCCATTTTTAAATCACTGATAATGATAATAAATTAATATACAGGCACGAGGGACTCGGGCACACATGGGAACAGCCGGAACCAAGACCGAGGCAGTAAAAATCTCCAAGGTCCTTCCTCTAATGTTGTGTCTGCTGCGTGTACTTATTTAGCATGAAAAGTCATTTTAAAAAGTGGAGGAAAAGCATTCCCTGCTTTCTGCTCTTGTTTTGATCTTTCTAGGCTTTCGCGTGTGTAGGTTTTTATTTATTTTACTTTCCTTGAAGGTTGAGGGTGGCAGCTAAGTGTTTTTGTGGAAGTTTTTCTTGGTATTTTTTTCGGAAGAGCACCTAAGCTTGTGCGGCTTTAAAAATGTGTTTTTAAAGGGATGTCTTTGAAGAAATAAATGAGCATCGTTTGCTTTTGAGTGGGAGAAGTTCTTCGAACTGGCTCGAATGTGACAACATTTGGCCAACACATGTGGCAACCGCTTGCGCACACTCAAATAAATAATCTCTTCGCTCATAAATTTCGAATGTGGCACGGAATGGCACAAAAGTTTTACAGCTCCATTCGATATTCGTATTTGAAAAGTAGAGGCGAAACCATGGCAACGCAAGAAATCACATAAAAGATTTCTCCTGACCCTGTTTTCTTTTACGCGGAGCCTTCAATTCATATTCCATTCCGCAGAAGGAAAAGCTTTTCCCTTCGCCGAGTAGTTCTCAATTTTTCGTGTGCACATTTATTCTTCCGTTTGCCGGCGTTGTTTTCTTTTTTCCCCATAAAGGACCTACACTGGTCTACAACAGAATAGAAACAAGGCCAACATTTACCATTACTTTTTTTCTTTAAAATGCATAAACAGGCTCAAGGCTTAAAAATATTATTTTTTAGCTACATAAATATCTGAATCAATTTTTATAAAAGCATGGTCTTTGCTATAATTTTCATGGAAAGACGAACTTATATTATATATTTTATATATTTAGAATTTAACTCAGCCTCATGTCATGTGTTTTAATGAAATCAAAACTCTACAACTTTGGTTCCATACAAATACTTGTTGTGTGGCACTGTGTTATTGTGTTGCCAGGACTGTTCCCTTTTTCCAATTCGGGTTAATGCTTTTTTCGCTGTCGTCGCGCCGGCGTCAACAAGGATTCAGACATCCTTTTGCTGAAATGTCCTTTGCGAGCTGTTGCTGTTGCTGTTCCTGTCGTGGAAGCAGATCCAAGGAAAGACAAAGTTCTGCCCGCAAGCTTGGCGCGTCTCCCTTCGGTGGGGAAAAAGTTGTTAAACGCTCTCAATGAGATTTTGAATGTTTTTCGTGCTGCAAATCGTATCTGCCACAGTCTCAGAACTTCACTCACTCCCCCACTGTTCGTTGTTGTATTAACAATAATAATTTCCGCATGGGAATCAATAGAAAAATATACAAATAAGCATATTAGATGCTCACTTGCCCTCATTTGTGTTTGTCTTTGTATTTTATGGATTTATGCATGACTCCGAGCTGTATCTTCTGTGTATAGGCTGTGTATCTTTGCCTTCAATGAGCCTTTATTTGTTAATATTTCGCAAATATTTGCGGTACATGGCCAGTGTCTAATAATATTTGACAATGGCTGCGCAGCATTAAAATAAATAAATGCTGTAAATGTTTATTATGAGCCTGAGCGCGTGGGCTGGAAAAATATATTCTCAAAGCGGCGCTTTAATATTTATGCATAAATTTGTGGCTCCATGCGGGAAATTGCCAAATTGGTTTTTTCCAAATGTTTATGGCATCCTATATGTACATTTTCGTATAATTTTTTGGTGCTTTATGGAAGGAAGTCATTGGATTCATGACTCAAACTGACTGAAAATGTAACTGCCGCATGATTTAGCAAAATATCATGTAAGCAATTGTTTATGGATGACTTTGTTATTGCTACCATTTATAAGTTTGAAGGAATGACAGTTCGATTTGAGTAAAGGTAAATCAATTCCTGCTTCTGGTTATCATTGTATAATCAGCTTTTTATCTGTGCTCTAATAATTTTTGTATATTTGATTACTTTTCTATTCAAATGTCGTCAGCACATAAATATATTTTGATGACATATTTGTCAAAAGATTTCAGAGTTCAGAGAATCAATTCTATTTCAATTCATACATCTATGTAAGAATAATAATAGCTGTAAACATATTATTCTTATTATTTCATTTGTAAAGTTTTCTATACTTAAAAGTTTAATTATTATTAATAAATTTGGTAAAGTATTGCTGCTATTTTAATATATTATTCGAAGCACATGCTTAATTGCTTTGCAAGCCTTTGCAAATATGTTTTGTGAAACTCTTTGACTCGTGAAAATCTTGCCCTGAAGCAGCTGTCTGCAACCTAATATCTTTCAAATGCAAATCATTGCCCATGACATGAGCACACAGCATCCAGACAATTGCAATTAAAGACACACTTAATTAAATCAATTGCCAATTTATGCAATATATATTTTTTGCTCGAACGATTAAGTACGATAGATTTTCTTGGCCCGAGTGGAAATCTAATTTAAGACAAAGGGAAAATCACATAAAATTGGATACGGGGGTAGGGCTTATGGTTTATGGCTTATGTCTGCCCCTTGGGTTTTGGGTTTTACTCACACTCATTGTGATCCTTGGCGTTGACAGTGAGGACTGTGCTCTGCAAATCGGCATTTTCATCGATTTCAGTCTCGTACAGAAATCTATCGAAATATGGCGGTGAATCGTTTTTGTCGGCGATACCAATGCGTACAAATTTTGTAACTGCAAATGAGAAAAAAGAAAGAAGAAAGCCATGATATATATACTGTTTATACTTATATATAGATTGCTCGGTGCGGTGCGTTTATAGTGTATGAAATGCCAATAAGCAGCATTAAT